GAGCGAGCCTGAGAGTGTCGAAGTCCACAGAGCTACTGTTGAGAAAGAGTCACGTGATCAGGAAGAGGTTGTAGTGTTTGAGACGAACTTGGTGCCAATCGTAGAGGTGGAAATGGCACAGCTGCCTCCTTCCTTTGATCCCTCCTGTAATGCTTTAGAAGTGATCCCGGAGGAAGAAGGATCGTGTCCCGGAGTGTCGGATGACTCTGGGAGGATAGCTGGATCTTCCCCAGCTTCCTATTTCTGGAGCGATGGTCCACAGGTCATGCGCTGTTTCCAGGTAGCCTCCTGACTCCCTCGGGGTGATGCTGATTATTTCCCTTCTTGGCTGACACACTCCTTTGCAGCACCGATACAAATAAAAAAACTTGTGACTCTCCTAAGGTGGTATTCGGTTTGGTGTGAAAGTGCTTGTTATTGTCAGATGGAACTCAAGACGCTGCAGAGGTGCTGCACAGTGGTGTGCTAAGTTTCTAACGATGGTGACGGGTCACTGTAACAATGTCTGCTGCAAAACCATTACTTTTGATCATCTTTCCAACTCACCTGTGCCGTTTATTCACTGTTTCTCTTGGAGTGATTGGTGGTGGGAAGTGACGTTAACACGTTGATTCTTCTGTTTCGAATACAATAAACTAATCTGGTGAGAGGAAATAGCGGTTGTGGTGCAAGTCTAATTAAAGAAAAAAAGGCAATAGCTAATGCATGGTGTGAAACAAAGTGTTTGCTGTGGTGCAAAGTGTCTGGTTAAACAGCCACTCATGGGGCTGTGCTCCATTTCACAGCCCCCTCTGGTGCAGACGCAGACTGTCACCATCACAGCCGTCTCCAGCCCCTTACCCAGTGGCATCTCCACCACAGAGGTCCCTATCGTCCCGACTAAGACCTTCACCTATGAGTCTTCAAAGGTAGGGGCTCCAGCAGCTGCTCAGCCCAGATCTGTCTCAGCTATAGGCAGTCAGGTTTGCATGGTGGAGGTGGCTTCAAAAACTCCCAATAAGGAGGTTTGGGAGGATCAGTAGGAGGGCTCCAAAATAAGAATGAAGCAGCCTCGTGCCTTCCTCGGTGAAACCTTGATGTCACATGATTTAGAAATGATTATTCAGTCCATCCCCCTTTTTTTCTTCTTTCCTTCAGGTGACCGTTGATGGGACAGAGGAGGACAAAGATTGCTCAACAGTATCCAGTTCCCAGACCATTACCTCAGAGACCACCAGTGGCACCTCAGTGACGACTACCACCACTCACATCTCAAAGGTCAGCAGAGCAAATTAGGCTCTCGGCTTTCCCGTTCTATTACTCTTTATATGCCTCTCTAATATAGATTTTCCTTCCTGTACAGGTAGTAAAAAGTGGATCTTCAGAAACTCGCGTGGAGAAGAGAATTGTGATAACCGCAGACTCTGACATCGACCAAGATAAGGTACAATATCTACACACAGGTTTAGGCGTAAGGCGGTATTTGCTCTCTTGGCTGAGTTTTATATGGAAGCTTGTTTGTGCAGTAAAAGGAAAGAAAGCCATCCTTAACTCAAAATTTCAACAACTGGACTAAAATTCCAAGATAGTTAGCAAAGACCGTTACACCAACAGCATTTAATTCCAAATTTTTCAGATGCAAACTTGTCGTGTAATCGTCTCTGAGGTAAAACAATATTATTTAATCACTGCATATTCAGTACAGGTGCGGATTTTGAGCCACGAGTGCACTTGCTGCCAAATGCAGTGCTCTGATTGGTCAGATCTGTTTATTTTGCATGTGAAAAATCTAAAAAATTGAGCTTGAACTGGAAAAATAAATGACACAACCTCATCCTGCAAAATCATGTGAGCGGTTGAGGTCAACAGTTACATTAATAGTAGGCGAGTCCAAAAAATATTTTTAATGCACAGAATATTCGCACGAATCTTATCCAATTTTTTTTCAGCACCGAAAACAAGCTTCCTTAGTTTTAGATACTACTCTTTAATCTGAAATATGAAGTTACAGTGTTGTGCTTAAATTTGTACTTGCATCAACTCTTTAGCGCTTAATGACGAGGACAGTTTTGTCTTAGCAACTTGAGATCATATAAACAAAACATGTCTGTGTTGCAGGAGAAGCACGGCGGAGCATCAGCATTGTAACTGAACCACACCTTGTTCCTTTGACCAATCACCTCCGATATCCCCAGCACTCAACACACAGTGACCAGCTGTATTTGCGCACACATATCTTAAAAAACAGGGAAAAAAACCCACTCATAACTCTGCAGCTAAAATGATTGATAACAGCGTATATTAATTCCTAATAGTCTGTTTGTTTTCAGTTTTTGTATTTTTTTCAGGCTGTTCATTGTAGGCAGGGCTGCACAGTCCTCAGATCATCCTAGTGTTGTAAAAGTTTAGCGAGTACACGTTTATTGGTTAAATCCCAGCATTTGCAGATGTGTGATCTCAAGTTACGTTTGCTTTTAAATACTTTTTTTTCCTAGTGGTTTTTACATTGTTGATTTTATACAAATTTACCGTTTCCATTATAGTTTAGATGCCATTATCAGCATTTCTTCCCACGGTGCTGCTAGGGGAACGTTAAGACCACATTCAAGGGAACTCTTTTTTTTTTTTTTCTTGTTGTTTACTTGTCTATTTAATTCAGGAGAGACTTTTTATTTTAATGAAATGACATACCTCACATCTCTATGTGGACAAAGATATTTTCTGCTCAAATTTGGACAGTTTGTTCATGTCTCAGGTACAAAAATAAAGAAAGAAAGGAAAAAAAACAAGTTAATATTTTCTTCCCCAACCAGCTAAGAACCAGTAGCCTACATAATCTTGTAAAGTTTGAATTTTTAAAAAATTGATCTATTTTGAAATATTTCTCTATTTTATAGAAGTAATGCTTTTTATAGTATTTGTACAAATGTGAGGTTTTTAAGTTATTCATATCTGCTCATGAAAATGTAGGTTACCATTTGTGCTGTTTTACTGAATTTTGAGGTCTCTATTTAAGACTCGTCTTGCCTGAATCACCCTGAATCATTCTTATTCGTTTCCTCTCGTAGTCCACCAAGTACATCCGACTTTACAGAACTCACAGATAACAGTGGAGATTTACTCAGCTCTGTTTTTGTTCATTTTAATAGAAGTCCTACCTGCTTTGAACATATTTGGTTGATATGAAAAGTTTTTACAGGTTTTTGGTCTGTTTATCTCAGGTTTTGATATTCTTTGTAAGACTACAGACCTCCGTATGATTGTATGAGGAATGTCCATGTATTTATTATCCACCTCTATTGTAAATGTACATGTATGTTCAGTCAAGTGAGGTCAATAAATATAAAAGCTTGTCTGTCACAATAGCCACACATGTAAGCCATAAAGGCAGCTGCCCGATAAATGTGGCTTTTCCTCTCACGGGAGCACATGTTGTCTTTTTTTTTTCTACGTGTTCTACTATACAGTAATTTATTTGTTAAGTAGGAACTGTTTCATGTGATTTGATGTATTGTGATGTTTCACCACAAGCTGGTTTCCAGGCTTCCACCATGTTAAATACTACATTCATAATCAACCAAGTTTGTAAAGCCTTTTTAACCACATAGTCTGAGTAGGTTGCTCTCACTTGCTGTTTTCCCTGTACTTTTTCATAGAGAAGAAAACATACGAATCTTTTCTAGGTAGCATGTTTGGTAGCATTTTTTTTAAACTAAAAAAAAGAAGCCATTGCTATTATAGCTAAATCTCAATCACATCTGCATTTTTTCCTCCCTCGATAAAAAAAGTAGTTTCACATTAAGAAAAAAAATAATAGTTTTTAGAAAATTGAAAATATTGTTGCTTTGTGACTTATCCCTGTCTTTTTATGGAAAATAAAATAAAATAAGCATTATTTTGCACGTTGTTGGGCTGTCTGTGAATGAAGCACATCACATTAAAAATGAGCTCTTGGTAAGTAATAAATATTTAATGCCAGTCACTTGTTTTGCAGTGGATGTTGCACGTTCAATACCAAACTTTTAAAAAAAAGAAAGTCACATCTGTCTAGATCAGGGATGTCAAACTCATTTTACACAGTCAGCCCGCTTTGATCTTAAGTGAGCCGAATCAATGAAACTGATGGATGTTTAAAATTACAGTAGTTCTGGAAGTTCATTGCCCAGACTAATCTGTAATTATACAATATAAAGTTTTCATAACTTCAGACACCTAAAAAAAACCCAAATCATAGTAGGTAGTGGAAAAACAAACCTTTATGTAATTATTAATTATTGTGATGAATTATGAATGGGAGATCTTTATCAATAAGAAACGCTGTCAAAATTATGAAAATACAGTTAAAAGTTCAAAATTTCTGAACTTTTTTTCTAAAGTTGCCCAGTGGACCGGATCGGAGTCTTTGCCGGCCACTTCTGGCCCCAGAGCCTTATGTTCTGACACCCCTGGTCTAGATCGTTATCCCATTATTTAAACATATACAAACAGAGCCATCAGGAAATGATTGTTAGAGCTGTCTAAACAAGCAAATACACTGCCACTATATCTCCTGAAACTGAAGAGTAACATTTAAAACATCATAGGTCCTTTTGTCTTTTCTTTATCTCTCTAATTTGGTATTCACTGGTTGTTGGTAAGAGCACCTGAATCTATTTGCACATATTACAAGAACAACATCTAAGCACATTCCTACACGTGTTCTGGATTTAATAGTTACATTTTCATGAGGCTTAATCACTGATAAGGCAAACCTCTTGGGGCTGGTGGTGAGACATTCTGTTACATTCAACTAAGCCGCAAAGCAAACTGCAGTTTTCATTATCACTGAGTAAAAGTCACTTTTCAATCTAAAAGAGAAACCCCTTTATTTTGAAAAGATGGACTGACATCAGTTAAGGTTTAACCACATGTCTGAAGCTCAATTAATTAGTATAATTAAAAATTGCTCAACTGTAACTGCCTCCTAAAAGAGAGGAAATGGCTGAATCTGAAAGTGCTTATCAACACAGAGGTGAGTTTGGAGAACTGTACAGGTATTTATTGGTTATACACAATCAATTGCTTCACGCAAGTTGTAAACAACAAAGTCTCTGAGTCCACTGTCTTTGTTAAAGATGGCTTCTAGCGAATCACCTTTACTGGGCTCTTGAAAGTTGATGCTGCCTGAAGCTGGAGTTGATAAGCCATCGGGTGGATTTTGAAACCATACAGCCTAAAAAACAACAAAAATAAATAAATAAATTCCTCGCTTTTCAGAGGTCAGTGGTTTGGTGTCGTTTGAAAGCTGAGTGTAACATTGATGCAAAAGAACTTGGGGACAAACCTTGGCACAAACTGATTGGCGGGTCGCTTTGGGCGGTACTCTGGGTGCACCATGAACAGCATGTGAGGGAACCCCGTGCCAAAGTAGGCTCCATCCGTGTGGTGGTGCCTAGAGGATTTAGGGGTGTACACATCCATGCACTTTGGGCAATAAAGCTTCACCATTGCTTCTCCCGGTATATCCGATAAACCTACGTTACGCAGGAGAGAGAGAAAAGAAGGGATAGTCACAAATATCACAGGGTGTTGTTTAGTTCCAAGTGATCCCCCCCAATGAGAAGATCAAGAAAAATCAGACCTACCAATCGGAAGCATTGGCTGATTCTCACAATACACTCTGGGGCAATAGCCAAAATCCCCCTGTTGATACTTTTCCAACTACCAAAAAAGAACAAACTTAGAAATCACTCGTGATGATCATGTCGTGGCGCCTGTAAGAGGTTGCAAAAACTATAAAATAAGAGCCCACCATTTGTGCAATGCCTCTGTTTGTGAGGATGTAACGTGCATGTATAAGGCCGTACAGCATCTCTGCTGCCTGCTCTATCAGGTCGCTCTGGTTTGGATTATCTTCAAGCTCCTCATCTGTTTAAATAGAAACAGTTTAGCCTGTTTAACTATTTTACTATCTCATTTTATGAGAGAAGTGGTTTGCACCACTTTAAAATCTCACCTGGCTCTAGGTCAAGAATCATATCCAGAGCCTGGCGGTAATGAGGCACCTGCTCATTCAACCCCGTCAGGTTAAACTTGTCCTGTATGTAGTCTTCATCAACCTAAAACACAGCAGCAGAAGGAAACCAAAGGCTATTAATAGCACAAGTTACTGTTGCAGCAGTGCACTGCACAGCACACTGATATGGAACCATTATACAAGAGTTTAACAAGATTACTGCGATGCAGCCAGCTATTTCTTGGCATTTTTCATTTAAGCATTTTTACTTGATGTCCTTTTTGTACTCTTAGAAAGAAAACCCTCCGTGTTCTTCACAAACAGGCGAGGAGAGCAGTTGCAACAGTCAGGTCTTAACTATATGTAACTGAACTGAAAACTACGTGTGTGTAAAATGTCCAAGGTGGCATCTTCTAGCCTCAAAGATACCAAATAATAAAATAAATAATGCAGACCAGAAAGTAAATGACGCAGCAGATCATCCTGGTTACAGGTTACCGGCCATAGTGTGACCTTGACCCCAGGTTGATATCCAGTATGTGACAACCTACTCCATCATTTAAAGATTTCCCTGCAAGTTATTAAGACACTGCAATATAAATAACAGCACAGGGATATTTGACCAAGAGAGAAATTCAGACACTCAAAACACAAAAAAATGATTTAACAAAAAGAAAAAAAAAAGGAAATGCGTTTTATTTGGTAGTTTCAGTTCTGAAATTACAACAGAACAGAAACTACTGGATGGAAAAAAAGTAACTGAGGTGATTAACTAATTTCAAACCAAATGAACTTCCAGGAGTCCCTCTAATGTAAAGCTGCAGCTACTTCTAGCATCTACAAATTTATTTGAATTCAGTGTGTTGTTTGCCTAATAGATAACAGTTCAGATTTAAAACTTCAAACACATTTTTGATGATTTGAATTTTCTTGTTTTTATGGAAGGTGGTCTAATAAATTCATCAAATTTCAAAGCACATACACCTGGTCAGAAGGTAAAATATCATCTTTACATAGACTGGTTAGTTTGATTTAAGCACATTCTGTACATTTCAGTACTCACATGTGTTATTCCACATAATATATCAAACAAAATCATGAGTGTGGTGGTCATTTCTGTCTTCTTTATAGCTGATGGCTTTAGTCCACTATACACGTCACACTTTACTGGTTTGGCAAAAGGTCCCAGTACGCTCTCAAACTGTTTTTTTATTTTTATTTTTTATGTTAGCTGAGATTATAAATTTAGCAAAGTAATTTTGATCGAGAGTAGCTTCACTGCAATTTCCAAATGGTTTTGCAACATGCAGCATATCCTTAAGTACTGGCTGTTTTGATGGGTCACCACTATACTAGACACAATGGCATTTATCTTTCAGTCTAAGCATGCATGGTGCAGGGTCTCAGAATCCTGCTGAACTCCGAAATGGTTCACGGATTATATCTGCATGATTTATAGAAATCTTTCAACCATAAAATTCAAGTGTCTCCATGATCTTAATCAATAAATTATTCTTTAGGTGATGTTGTAACCATTAACATAAGTGTGCAAACAGAGAAAGTGATCATAAGAAATCAGCACACCACATCAGGTTTGATTTATTCAAAGAAAGTCTGTAGGTATGGTCTGATGTGCAAATACATTTGATATATCTTGGTGCTGTGATGAATATGGACCAAAAATCAAGAAGTCAAGGTTCGATTTAATTTAATCATGTGAACCACTAAGGAATTGCAGTCGTATTTATGCACAGTGCTTGTGCTGCCACAGTGTAGAGCAGCCTGATGGTGTGGGGACATAATTTACGCTTCTGTATACTCCGCCAGCAGGCGATGCGAATGATGAAGTCTGTGAAAAGCTTATGACGGTGCAACTAAAGCTTTGAAAAATAGTGAGAGAGAAAGAAAAAGAGTGAAAATGAGACTGACCTCGCAGAAGAACTCGTTCCCTCTGAGTCCACAGAACCACGATATCCAGGACACCTCCTCTGAGCTGCTCATCCTCCTGACAAACCAACATAGCCGCAGTGAACGAATTTACACCCAGAAAGGTTAAAAACAAAGGCAGTAAAACATTAACAGGATTAGTGAGCCGAGCTTTATAAGTGAACATAGCACAACATTATTTTCAGCACAGATAAGGACTGCAGCTGACACCTGGGGTTTTACTAAAAATGTCAAACATAATCTTTAATTGAGCTTAGACCTGCCTCTCAAACCTGGGAAATACGTCAGCTCTTGATTTAGCATGCTGGCTAGCGTTCATGCTAACACGTTCAGTACAGAGATTGACAAATGTATTACTGTAACGGTACTATCTATTAACATAAATACCGCCTGTGTGTTTGCATAACTGTATACAAACGGTCGCTTTCACTCACCCTTCTTTTATATTAAATAACACATCAATTTGGAAGCTTTGCTAAGCTGTCCTCCCTCCCAGGGTGACAAAATATGATTTCCGGTCATGCGGTCTTTTCAAAATAAGGTAGCCGACTACACATCCGGCATATATTAGGTGAATGCGAAGGAGAGATAAGCCTACTACCGGTACAATTATCTTTTTGTTGTTTGTTTGCCATGTTCTCTAAGATCAACATCTGACGTTGCTATATTCGAAGAAAAGTGGCCACACTGTTGTATATTGTGAAACGCCCAATTTTTTAAACTACTATAGTAAATAAATACAATCAAATCCAATAATAATGGAAGTAATACGTCAGATCCAAATGAGACATGGTTCACCTTAGTTCAAGTAGGCTAATGTTATGATAATGTCAGTCATGCATCCCAAATTGAATGTGATAGTTAAGAGGTGTGCCTCTATCTCCTCTGTCTGTAAAATACCTTGATGCATGGAGGAGATGCAATGGAAACATACCTTTTTTTTTAAAAAATCAATATGAAAGAATATAAAATAAAGGCGAGCGAAAGCAGCTGTTTGTAGTTATATCTCATGTGTTTAATATTTTTACTTTTAGGCTCTTTTAGCTATCAGGGTTAAAACCAGAAATGCAAAATGCAATGCAGTTTAATCTTTTCACTTTAACAAACACAACATGAGATCCGTGACTGTTTAACCACGTAATTTTTAATGAACTTGTAAAAATGCTGACCTTCTAACATCAACCACACTGATCACATATTTTGCCACCTCCATGTACATTTCACATTATCAGAGTACTTGAACAAACACCTAGAACAGTACAGTTCTAGTACATGCAGGCTAGTTTACATCTCTTCATGAAAATTGCACATTTTACTTCATGTTTCATTTTTTTTCACAACTTTACCTTTGATTGATCTTAAAATCTAGGAGGGGGGGGGGTGAGGGGGTTTTTTATTGACAGAATTCAGCTCAGATGGGAGGTCAGGGCAGGTCTGAAAAGGTTTTACGACGAGGTGGTCCAACTTCTTTCTGCTCTTCTTCCTTTGCCATGCCTTCAAACATCAAGATCCTTGAATAAAAACAAGACATTTTACATGCTTTAAAAAGCATTCTTGCAAACCTCAGAC